ATACTGCTACCGCGGAGCCCTTACTTACACTAACTGCCTTATACTGCTACCACGGAGCCCTTACTTACACTAACTGCCTTATACTGCTACCGCGGAGCCACTACTTACACTAACTGCCTTATACTGCTACCACGGAGCCCTTACTTACACTAACTGCCTTATACTGCTACCGCGGAGCCCTTACTTACATTAACTGCCTTATACTGCTACCACGGAGCCCTTACTTACACTAACTGCCTTATACTGCTACCGCGGAGCCCTTACTTACACTAACTGCCTTATAATGCTACCGCGGAGCCACTACTTACACTAACTGCCTGTATACCGCGACCGCGGAGCCTAGTGAATGTGTATGTAAGGTACAGACGGCTCCTTCTACCTCCATTTTCCCGGCGGCTTCGTCACTTTGCAGGTTTTCAGTTCTCGTTTTTTTGTCCGTTCTTCTCGTTATCGTTTTAGTAATTCGCTTTAGTTGTTAATTTGATAAAATAGAGATTACACTTTCTCACGGGGAGCGTGATCTCAGGCAATGGGCGGAGCTTAAGCAAAGTTCCATTTCAGTTGCTACTTTACCCACAACCCATCAGTAAAAACAATCCCAGAGATGGCAAACTGCAGACATCACGGACCGAGGAGAACAAAATGGCGGCACCCATGTATTGAGATCCAATGCAAGCAAGAACGACATACTAATGAAGGCAACTAGCAATGTGAAGAGTATAATTATTAAAGGGACATTACAGTCACCCAGACCAGCTCCTCTCAGTGAAGTAGTCTTGGTGCAGAGGTCCTTTAGTTTTATCTCTGCAATATAAAACATTGATGTTTTTTAAGAAACAGTAGTGTTTCCATTGCATGATTGAATGCACCACTATTGGCCGATTCCTGATGGCTTCTAGAGGAGCTTCTACCTCCAGACCCGAGTCCAAAAACTCTGGGAATCAAATGTTGCTGATATGAGAAGTAATGGACTGGGCGAATGCAGGGTTTGACCGCGCATGTCTAGCCCCAATTCATGGCTTCCCAATGAGAAGCCACAAATTGGAGACGATTGTGGGTGATGTGGATGCTGATATCACCTGAGGCGGAGCTGGGGGTGTCCTGGTGCTAAAAAGGTGGCGAGTAATCTTTATTAATCTTAAAAATGGAATAAGCAAAGGGGGGTGGACCAAAGGGAACCTATTGTGCTGAAACAACAATTGTTATCTCCCACACTATAGACTCCATTTAAGATACAAGTGATATAGAGAAAAGAAACAGAAAATAACATGACAATTTCACTTTAAATGCAGGTACCTCCATGTTGTTACCTGTCTGGTGCCATCTCGGGTTCCACTTGCCTTATTGCTCTCCACGTGCCTGGTAACACCACAGGATTATTCACCAAGCTAATATAGTTCATTCACTCCAATTCAGAGTTTAGTAAATATGCCTGGTATTGCTAACATGTGAAGATTTCAAAGAGTTAACCAACTCGTAAGCTTGCATCTGGCTCCCTAAAAGATAAGCTTTCTTAATTTGAAGTTGGCTGGATAAATCAGAAAGCCAGAGGCCGTGCAGAAGCCATTAAAACATTTCTCCTCTGATTTCGGTCTAATTATACTCCTCACTCAGTGTGTTGCATTAATGTAATTTTCAGAAACTGACATTTTGGAAAACTTCAATTATTGAGCAGAGAAAAAAAAATAACAATGCAGTTTTCCCAACAAAGATGACATAATTCCAAACCTAGAATCAGCTCGACGACAAAACATATCACTGGAATAAAATTATATATCTTTATTCATTTTATATTAAAAAACAATTGTATCAGCAGGATAGCTGCATTGTCATGGTTAGCAGAGACAGAATCATTTCATGTGCTTTGTGGTTTATTATAAAATTAGTACTAGTCATTTCAAAAAAAAAAAAATTGACAATAAAAGATTAAATGTATTATAGCCTGTGTGTGTATAATTTAGCAATTTATCCAATTAATAACTCTTCCAAGTCCACTCCCTGGTTCAGCATCGCTTCGAGGGGGTGCCCACAAAGTCATGGTAATCTTATGACGCTTGATTTTTTTTTTGTTTTTCACTAATAAAAAAAATGTCAAATGCTAATTGTACCGGATGACATTGGGCTGTCCTAAAACTTACATTTATTCCTATGTGTTCGGTTAAATTGTGACATGTGTATGTGAAATGTATGCAGCATTCGCCTGATTGTTCGGTAAAATCACTCCAGTTATTATGCGAGTGAAACTACCAAACAATCAGACCACCCCAGGAGTAAGTGTGCCTCCAATTACTGTTCGCAACAATGTTGCAAACGTGTAATTGGCAATTTGTGTAATGTGTTCTTTGTTCTCTGGGTGGCCGCCATTCGGGAGACGAACACGTGGCGGCGGCCATTTTAAACTCCCGAACAGCGTTTTTTTGCCGTTGAGTGTCTGGAACCCAAATCAGACACTCGGTTAGGCAAACACCGCTGAGACCTCCACACTGCCGCCAATTCGTGTAAAAACTACCGAACAGCTTCCCGTTCGGTAGAAAGAATCGCACGAACAAGGGGATTTATGCGAATCCTCCCCAGCTCTCATAACCCAAGCCATTCGTGTGTTTCATTCCCTTTTCTGTGACCGACCGCAGGGCCAAAATACATGGAACCCTTTTCTGCTGTTAACCCCAGCGCGGTCGATCTTTTTAGTACTTCCAGGAATTTTCCGAACCCCTGGTCCGATCTGGGTGATTTTTGGATATGTGTCTCACCCAGATCAGGGCTGCCAGGGGATGTAATATTTAAAGGGGTACCTCTATGTTTAGGGCTACATCCAGAAACCCAGGGAATTTGTGTCCTGCATAATAGGATTATGAGTCATACTAAGTGGAGGGGATGTGTGGGTGGCAACTCATATGTGATTGGAGTACTGTATAATTACTGTAAATCCCTCCCTTGCATGGGAGAATGCTTTAAAAGACGATTGTGTGATTAAAAGTTCAGTTCTGCTCCTGATGCTGTGTGTTGTCCAGTCATTGGGATTGATGTTGGGATATTGTTGGATTGTTTTGCCTGCTGGAATTATTGCCTTATGGATTTATAATACTTGTTCCTGGGCCTCACTGGGATCTTAAGTGGAGATAACCTGTGGAATATCAGCTCTCCACTACACTAATTATTTTGAATAGTAAATAAATAATTTTCAGATAAAAGAAAGAATTTAGCAATTCTGAAGTAGGTAAAAAATGACCGCTCTGGCTGTCTTGCCCCAAAAGAGCTTTTGTTAGTTGAAACAAGAATGTGTCTATTGGACTGTGGTCTAGAAAGGTATAGCTATATCCGTTAGATAGTATTGATTAATTCTTAATTTAACTGTTTCTAGAGATTAGGAGGAACGCTCCAAATAATTAACATGATGTTCAAGGAGATGTAAATGTGAGTCAGATGCTGCCATTTGATTGCTGGCAAAGTTCATATTTTAAGTAGGTACCAAATGAACCTGGACTTCAGCCCACAGTCCTTTAAACCTTCTCTCGTTTTCAACCTTTGTACAGAACTACAGCTATACTTCCCAGACCATTTACACAGTCTAACCACTTACTCCTGTTTTCGGAGCTCGCAGATACTCCATTTATTGGTAGATGTTCTAGAAGAAATTCCAGGACCATCTATAGATTAAAGATATACCCACCTGAAAGGTACATTGGTTTTAATATGTTTGTAAGATGTTGACAGAATCCCTTAATTTGGGATTTGTTCAAGTCGTATTGGCCTTCCATTTAAAATATTACTAAGGGAGTTATTTACTAAGCAATCAATTGTGTTGAACCGAGAAAATATTACACATAGAAAATAATCTTCATGCTTGTTTTTTTTTTTTTGTATCACGGCTATTTTTGCTTCAGTTTATCCGTGACCACAAAATTCACCCCAATTTGTTTTTTTACGAACAAATATGCCAATATTTGAAAACAAATTAAGCTTAGCAGGTTCCCTGATCAGAATTCAATGATGGGGAAATTAAATTCAAATCTGAATGACCTTGTTTTTCCTGTGACAAGAAACTATGAGAATCGGAAAAGTGCTATTAATAGACTTGCGAATTAATGGTTTCCAGCCGGTACGAACGAATTAAGTCCCTTTTAATCTGCGCCCAAACAGATCGATACGTCCGGGATTTACTGCACAGTTTTACTCATTGATTAATTTGGAAATAAAGGGAATTTGATTCGTTCGTAGCAGCTGAAAAGCATTAATTAAGGATTCTAGCCGTTAATACGAGGGTTAATGAGATAAAGTGCGCAATCACATGCAAATTCTCCTGAACAGAGTAATGACATGTAAATGCTATTCATATACATGCTGCGGGCAGGAGAGGAGAACAAGGCACCTGCTCTTGACTGGCCCCCAAGGGCTGAACCTGTCCATCTTTATGTTAAACATGTTCATCTGATTTTTATGTTCAGCCATAGATCCTGACATAAGTCAATAGGCTTTCTCTCCCGTGCTCTGTTTGTTGGCATTTAAAGAGTTCAGCCAGAGATAAGGAATGCAAAGTGTTACAGCGTGGATGGAAGACTACATTCCCATTAACCTCTTCACAGCCAAAGCTCACATAAATACATCATGTTCATAGCAATGACTGCAAGCCAGTATCCAGACACACACACATTCTGTGCTGTCAATGAAAACTCATATCTGGAACGTCTACCACAGCTGACCCCGAATGATTTGTCCAATCATACTGCAAACTGCGGGCAGTTAGGATGACTGGATGTGTTTCTGCAGGCTGCATGATTTATTTTTTGGGAATAAAATTGCAATAATTATCTGTAGCGGACCTCTAGTCCTAGCAAGGACTCTCCTCCGCTGGTTACTCCAAAATATACTCTGGAACAAGTAAAGTACTCCAAGGGGACAGCCAAACACAGTAGAATAATCCAGGAATCTCCCACCTCCTCCCCAGCAACTGGACGACACTCAGCTCTGGGGGTATAACTGGTTTTAATGGAGCCACACATGGCATTTTATGGTAGTCCCCATGCAAGGGGTTTCCTGATACACATTCCAGGGGCATTCCCCACTGGACCTGAGATTAGTCTCATTTCCAGGACATATACAGTAATAACACCCCAAAACATACAGTTAACAATAAGGTACCTCGTCAAGTCCTATATCCCCAGATAGCCTGTATCAGAGCACCCAACATATCCAAAAAGCACTCAGATCCCACAAATGCAGCCGAAATGCTACCGGGGTATAGTTTAGACCAACCGCAAACGAGGAGCCTGCCCAAAAAGCTTCCATGAAATCTGGCTATTCGGTCGGTCTCTTTCGGGAGTACAAAACATAGTCTGCTCCCCCCGAACACCACTCAGTTCGTATGAATTCAGACGAACATAACCGGAGGTGGAAGTCCAAGCAGAGTTCGCACCACTGAGTGTCCGATTTTAATTCCATACACTCAACGACCAAACACTGCTGTCTCTGTTTGTGGCTAAAAATGGCCGCTGCCACGTGTTTGCACAAACGAACAGCGGCCACCCAACCGACTGCTTAAATTTTAGTGTTATTTCAGTTTGTGGAGGGTTGAACGGAGGTTACTGGGGTTAACAAGCGGTACACTCCACATATGGGTGGTCTGGTGTTTGGTGATTTGTTCGGTTGTCGAACAGAATACTGTTAATATGGGAGGTGAATGCTATTTACCGAACAACCATGCGACCAGGGCAAATAGCAGGATAATCCAGGGACAATGTGATCCGTCCCATACACGAAATCTGAGTAAAAACATACAAAATAAAAGGGGGAAGGAAACGGACAGCCCATAGAGGGAATAAAGGGTAATGTCCACAGGCTCATTCCGCTACATTATCTGTTTACTAATAACGTTTGCAGCGGCTATGGTACTTAAATAGCTATCACTCGCTAGGTTTCTGAACAAATTACTAATGGTGTAATGAATACATTGTCATCAAAATGATATAAATTATAATCTGTTATTATTCAATGTTTGTAGTTATGCAGCGTAATGTATAATTGAAGCTAATTGCATTATTGCAGCTTATTGTATTATTACAGCTCAGTGTATAATTACAGCTAATTGTATTATTACAGCTTATTGTATAATTACAACTCAGTGTATTATTAGTGCTTTGTATTATTGCAGTTTATTGTTTTATTACAGTGCCGTGTATTCTTATAGCTTATTGTATTATTACAGCTCTTTGTATTATTGCATCTTATTGTATTATTACAGTGCAGTGTATGCTTACAGTTTATTCTGTTATCGCAACTCTTCATTTTATTACAGCTCTTTTAATTATTGCAGCTTATTGTATTCTTTCAGCTTATTTTATTATTGCAGCTTGTCATATTATTACTGCTCTTTGTATTATTGCAGCTTATTGTATTCTTACAGCTTATTGTATTATTATAGCTCGCCGTGTCATTACAGCTCTTTATATTATTACAGCTCATCTTAATATTGCAGCTTATTGTATCATTACAGTTTACTGTATTATGACAGCTCATTGTATTATTGCAGCTAATCTTAATATTACAGCTTATTGTATTAATACAGCTCATGGTATTATTAAAGTTTATTGAAGTGTTCACATATATTCAGTGTATCAGTTTTTGAGAAGTTTGTAGAATTTCTCCCTGGATCCCCGGCACTCACAGCCTGGCCGTCCACGGTTTGATGACTTTAGACAGATGGTAAAATGAAACCTCCACATTACGGTAGTGGCAGCAGGTAGGCTGGTGTTGTTCGGTGGGACTTAGTAGAGCCCCAATTTTTATCAAATCAAAAACATTTTAACAGAAACAAATGGATGGCATTCTAAGACTACCTGCACCATAACCACTACAACAGTCTGCAGTGGTTATGGTGATTAGAGTGTTCCATGGAAGGTTGTTGGTTTTTGTACAGTCTACATCTATTAGAGAATTACATGCAAATGTTTACAGTGTTTTATTATATGGCTTTTAAATTGGAAATAGTGACTATGTAATGCCAAAATATACTGGTAGTGAGTGACATAAAGAATGAATCCCCGTGGCAAGCACAGCGACGGAGCCCCTGGAATGAATACTAACATCTGGATAATTGGTTATATTTTACTCATTTACTGCATTATCCTTTGAATTTGGTTTATTACATTAAACTGGCAGAGAAAGCGTTCTGCAGAGCCCATTAAAACTCTGTGGGGTGTTGAATTATTCTGAAGGAGATCCAAATGGCAGAAAATATTTCCGTTTGCTGGGTCTAAAAGCCTGCAGTAACAGACATTCCTATCGTGAGAGTCGCAGTTTAGTTTGGGAGTTAATACAAAGTGCTTATAAAATCTATGTGACACAATCAAAATTCTTTTTTAAATCTTTTTTTGTCAATCTATTTTTTTTTTATTGAGGCACATGAATGTCAAACATCATTTCGATAATAGTGACATTGTCACAAAAGCATAAGACATATATCAAGAAAATGGCACAGCTGAAACTTAATGGCATTGGCGTAGAGTTAGGTTACACAGCGCTTGTGGTCACTGGTGTAATAATCACATTTTAACTAAAATAACAGGAAAAGAGTAACAGTGAGAAAACAAATAACATAAAGGCCTGGTAGACTGACATCACAATGCTCCATAGACAGCAAAATAAAATGAACTATTATTAACTGGGCTCAGAATATGTGTCATGGCAGATAAGACGGATTTAGATGTCAAGCACAGGGGGAAACAGCGCAAGTAAAAAGGGAGTAGAGCTTTAAAAAGCCTCCTTACAGTGGCCTTAATATAAGCAGGAGGTGTTCTGCTGTTAAGCCTATGAATGCTGTTCACTCATCCTATGCCCATGGCATCCAGGCAGAGTCCAAGCTGTTGTAAAGGAGAGTAAGAATCTCCATGGGTGTCGCTTAGTGCCGCGTCTCTCAAGCCCTAGGTGGTGACAGGATCCTTCACTCAATGTCCACAGGCCTCTCTCCCTCTTGCCAGGGTGAAGCCTCGATTCCCCGGGTGGCAATATCTCCCCCCCAGATGTGTGAATGGAGTAAGGGCACTCTGAACTTCTTGGTTCCTCGTCTGGGAGGTAGTCTCCGCAGAAAGGCTCTGCCTTTGGCCGTGTCACAGATGCAGGCGATGTGAATTGCTGCTTCTGGGTCTGCAATTTCCTCCAGAACCTCTGGCACCTGTCATCGAATGCCCTCTGGAAGACTGCTTCCCAAGTACTCGCTGAGGTCTGCGTCTCATGCTACTGCCATTCTGAGAGCACCTCGAGCGAGCCAGTCATACAGGATTGGCCCAGATGTAGTGTTGAGGTGAGTACAATCTCATTTGGTGGGAACCGTGATGGCCTCCATCAGTCCAGGGGGGGATTGAGGGAGGAGTACAGGGCCCTAGAGTCAGCTGATTGGCCAATGCAGCCTCAGGCTAAGAGATCGGCCACTTCTGCAGCCGTGGGATCACACCAGGCCAGGGACAGCCGGAGGAAACATCCAATAATAAGTAGCAAAATTACAAGAGTAACTGTCAGAAAGGGTGGCGTCATTGAAGGAAAGGGTCCTGTGGTTCATTTTTTCTCTCTAACTTGCAATGACAAACGTGTGCCACACATCGTTGTGTAATCCACATAGCCTTTCACTCTCACGATATCCGTTGATATCACCCTCCACATCATCAAAGGTCCATGATAATACAGTCCTATTAAGTATGCTAGAGGTCTATGTGTACTGAGCCGGTCACACTACGCTGGGATAGTCTGTGTGCTTTCTATACAGTCCTATTAATGAGCGCTAGAGGTCTGTGTGAACTGAGTCGGTCACACTATGCTGGGATAGTCTGTGTGCTTTCTATACAGTCCTATTAATGAGCGCTAGAGGTCTATGTGTACTGAGCCGGTCACACTATGCTGGGATAGTCTGTGCTTTCTATACAGTCCTATTAAGGAGAGCTAGAGGTCTATGTGTACTGAGCCGGTCACACTACGCTGGGATAGTCTGTGCTTTCTATACAGTCCTATTAATGAGAGCTAGAGGTCTATGTGTACTGAGCCGGTCACACTATGCTGGGATAGTCTGTGCTTTCTATACAGTCCTATTAATGAGCGCTAGAGGTCTATGTGTACTGAGCCGGTCACACTATGCTGGGATAGTCTGTGTGCTTTCTATACAGTCCTATTAATGAGCGCTAGAGGTCTATGTGTACTGAGCCGGTCACACTACGCTGGGATAGTCTGTGTGCTTTCTATACAGTCCTATTAATGAGCGCTAGAGGTCTATGTGTACTGAGCCGGTCACACTACGCTGGGATAGTCTGTGTGCTTTCTATACAGTCCTATTAATGAGAGCTAGAGGTCTATGTGTACTGAGCCAGTCACACTATGCTGGGATAGTCTGTGTGCTTTCTATACAGTCCTATTAATGAGCGCTAGAGGTCTATGTGTACTGAGCCGGTCACACTATGCTGGGATAGTCTGTGTGCTTTCTATACAGTCCTATTAATGAGCGCTAGAGGTCTATGTGTACTGAGCCGGTCACACTATGCTGGGATAGTCTGTGTGCTTTCTATACAGTCCTATTAATGAGTGCTAGAGGTCTATGTGTACTGAGCCGGTCACACTATGCTGGGATAGTCTGTGTGCTTTCTATACAGTCCTATTAATGAGAGCTAGAGGTCTATGTGTACTGAGCCGGTCACACTATGCTGGGATAGTCTGTGTGCTTTCTATACATTCCTATTAATGAGCGCTAGAGGTGTATGTGTACTGAGCCAGTCACACTATGCTGGGATAGTCTGTGTGCTTTCTATACAGTCCTATTAATGAGCGCTAGAGGTCTATGTGTACTGAGCCGGTCACACTATACTGGGATAGTCTGTGTGCTTTCTATACAGTCCTATTAATGAGAGCTAGAGGTCTATGTGTACTGAGCCGGTAGCCGGTCACACTATGCTGGGGTAGTCTGTGTGCTTTCTATATAGTCCTATTAATGAGTGCTAGAGGTCTATGTGTACTCAACCAGTTGCATTACGTTATTGGTCTAATGACACGTTTCCTATAATTGTGTTATGACCTACTGAGTGCTCCAGTCCTACTGCATAAACTATAATGATTTTGTCCAATTTCAGTGCATCTTACACCCTGTATTTAAATAATGCAACAAGTGTCCAACGATATTCACCCAGTAACTAAGTACAGCAACAAATGGTGAATGGATTGATTGAATGAAATCATTGTCAAAACGTGTCTGAGTGAACATTTACATAACACTAGAAGTATTATCCATGAAATCCGTCAGCTACAAAAAGAGCATTTTATTTGTTTCTTTATGACGGAATGTGCTTTACTAAACACACTGCCTTTTAACAGGCGCACGAGCGAGTCATTACAATATCGCTGCTCGCTCCTAGAAGCGATAACCTTGAATATCTGTTATAGAAGGAAACGCTGGAAGGTTGATGATTCAAGGTCACTTACCACAATAGAAACCAGCTTTGGAAATTCTATAACATTCATTCATGGCGATGAGAGTGCTGGGCCTTCTTGTAGAAATGACTCATCGGGTAGGATTGTGTATTGCGGATTCATTGACGGACAGACGTTAAGAGTTAATATAAGTCTGGGTCCACAGACGTCTGAAAGGGAAATGGATCCGTAGTCAGCTCGCAGCAATATCCAAACGTATTTATTATAAAGGCTTAATCACTAAATGGCAAATTGCAGATAACCTGGAACGGGGAAATTATGACTTTTTATCAAGTTTGGCTCTATTGG